CCATCGTCTGCAGCCCAATGCCACCTGTGCAGCCAGCTCTGGTTCTCAGTGACAGTATGTCTAAAAGGAGGGTGGTGATAGACCCCACCTCCCAGCGTTACTGTAAAGATGAGAGGCTCGAGAAGGATGGATGGTGCAGCCGAGACAAGGAGGCGGAGAGATAGGAAGACAAACCAGAGAGGAAGTCTATTGACAGACATGAAAGGGAGCAGTGAGGAGTGGGGTAGAGCTTTAGGGAAGGAAATTGTCCCCACCACAGACTCTCCCACCAGCCTGTAGGCTCCTCCAGGGTCCAGGAAGGAGTCAGGGTCCAATGACAAAATAACCAGGAAACAGAGCTCCGGAGAAGGAGCGCCGTGGGCAGAGGGCAAAGAGTGAAACTAGGTCCAAGAGAGGTCCAGGAGCTCTAGAGCACAGGGTGGGGAAAGGAGGAAAGAGAGATTGAGGTGAGCCCAGGAAACCAGAGGGTGGACAAGGAACAGCTAGGCCAGCCCAGAAGAAACCTAGTGTTAGGAGAGGTCCCTACTCTCCTGGCCAGCAGCCATGGCTTCTCTACAGATGCAGCCTCTCCTTGAGGCCCCCAGGGCCTGCGCTGTCAGCGCGGAGGAGTATCAGCAGCTCAATCTGCCCAGCACACAGCACATGTGCCCATTAGCTGGAAAGAGCCCTGTGTCCAGAAGGTGCTGTCCAGGCTATAGTTCCTCCTCATGTAGTGTCTCAAGGGATCCAGACTTGAAGACAGTCCCTCCATCACACTTTATGGAGCCCAAGTGAGATTCTAGAACTCATGAAACATCTGCTTGGGATGCCTTTGGGAACAGAGGATTTCACAGTCAGGCGGAGCTGGATTCAAATGCCGGCTCAGCCCCTCACTGACTGGAAACTCACACAGATTCCTTACCCTCTGGGAGCCTCAGGCCCATCATCTATGAACTTGGAGTGAAAGCACCCCTCACCACACCTGAATAGAGCAGCCATTTATCCAATCCCTTTTCTTGTCCACATATCTGTGTGGGACCATCAGGCAGAGGCAGGCTTAAACTGTGTTGGTTGCTCAGGGCAGAATAGAAAGCCCAGCTAGAGGGGCCCGCAGGTGGTGTGGTGGTTAAAGGCGCTGGATTTCCACATGGCTGACCACGGTTTGAGTCCTGGATCTAGCAGCTAGCTTTCTTGCTTTCCCTTTCTCTCTCTCTCTCTCTGTCAGATTTAAAATAATAACAATAACAAATGGAATTAAACAAATAACTCCTTTTTAAAATTTTTAAAAAGAGTGGCCAGCAGGTGGCATGGTGGTTAGGGGCACTGGACTCCTACCTGGCTGATCATGTTTTGAGTCCTGGACTCGGCGGCTTGGCTTCCTTTTTCATTTTCCCTCTCTCTCTCTCTCTCTGTCACTCTCTGGTCAACTTAAAATAAATAAAATAAAGTTCAATATATATATATACACTTTATAAAAAGAAGGGACCAGCAGGCGCTGTGGTGGTTAAGGTGCTGGACACTCCCATATTGCCAACCATGGTCCGAATCCCAGACCTAGTGGCCTGCTTTCTCACTTCCTCTCTTTCTCAGTCTCTCTCTGGTCAAATTTTTAAAAACTGAATGAGTAAATAAAATTAAACAAATAAAAAAGAAAGAAAGGAATCTCAGCTACAGATTCTCCTGTGTGGCTTCCATGGGAGGAAAGTGGGGGCAAGAGCACTGTGAATATGGGTAGTGTTGGAGCTCAAGAGCATTCTGTCCCTGGAGGGGAGAAAGCAGACATCTTCAGTGCCAGAATATGGAGTCTAGACTGTCACTCTACTGAAGAGGTGAGCCATAGCCTGAACCATGCATCTGTGAGTGTGGAATGAGGGAGAGGGGAATTGGCGAGGAGATGCTTGGGGTGGTGATCACAGTTGGAGCAGAAAACGGGGCATCATTTAATTAGTGGCAGTCCCTTAGCACCTACCAGCTGTCCAACCTGTGCAGGGCTCTGGGTCTTGCCTGGAGAGGAAATGGTGCAGGAAGGGCTGGGCCTTGGGGCCGGGAGAAGAGCTGGGGGTCCTCAGGGAACAGAAGAACAGCAGAAGCTCACTGTGAGCCTGCCCTGTGCTCACATTACCTCCATTCATCACTGTAAAATAAGGTTAATACCAGCCCTTCATCACTGCCCTACAAGGGGAAGCCAGTGCTATGCCCACCTAACAGGTGAGAAGACTGAGGCTGTGAAAGCTCACACGGGAGGCAGCTGATCACTGCCTCCCCTGCCAGCCAGGATGAGCTCAAACTGTCCTGTAAGCCCAACCACCACCCATGGACATCTCGGGGCAGGCAGGCATGGTGTCTGCAAGGACACCAGGAAGCCAGCTGCTCCAGAGGACACAGAGGAGGACTCATGTCCTATACAATAGTTTGCATCCTCTTTCTTTCTACCTTTCTTCTTTCTTTCCCTTTAGTTTTACCATACAATGCATATACTCACCAGAGAGAGAGGGAAAATGAAGAAGCATCCCCCCAGGAGAGATGGCCATGCCACAACTGCTTCTCCATTCTCCTCTCGGGATTTTGGGCATGCACACTCACACACACACAATTGGCATGATTTTCAAGCTGCCAGGTCCAGGTCTTGCATTGCCCAATGGGCCATGTGGGATCCAGCCACCTTAACCTTTACACCACATGCTGGCCCAGCATCCCATTTCTACGAGATCGTGGGCAATTGTTCCTTGCACCCTTCCCTCATCTATAAAAGGAGCTATATAAATGTCCACTATTGTGAGTAGTAGATGTGACCCCATACTATTTTATTTCTTCTTTATTTATGACAGAGCACATGTGCGAGAGGAGCACCCTCCACAGGGTCTGGTCACAGTGGGACTCCCAGCCTCCAGCCCTCCAGCCAGTCGGGTCTCAGGCACTAGTGTGCATGCCTAGAATGCTCAGGCTGACCAAGCTAGGGATTTGAGCCATAGTTGTCACGTAAGATCCAGTTTCTCTTGAATGGCACATTACTGCCAGCACTGAATTCACGTAATAACACACTGAAAGGGGAAAAGGAAGACCTCGAAAAGAATATTGTATGAGAAAACAAGGCTTGGGACCAGCAGCTGGCGTGGTGAAGGTGCTGGACTCCCACATGGCCGACTGAGGTTTCAGTCCTGGACCTGGCATCTCGCTTTCTCACTTTCCCTCTCTCTTTCTCTCTCGGATGAACGCACATACCCCGTAGCTAGCTTTATTTATTTATTTATTTAAATTTGACCAGAGAGGGACAAAACAAGAGAGAGACAGAGAGGGAAAGTGAGAAAGCAAGTCACCAGGTCCAGGACTTGAACCACGATCAACCGTGTGGGAATCCACCGCCCTTAACCACCATGCCACCTGCCAGCCCCAACCTATAGCAAATTTTTTTAAAAAGAAAAAGATAGGGCTGGCAGGTAGTATGGTAGTTAAGGCGCTGGACTCCCACATGACCGACCATGGTTTAAGTCCCGGACCTGGTGGCTTGCTTTCTCACTTTCTCTCTCTCTTTCTCTGGTCAAATTAAAAAATAATAACAAGGGGCCAGCAGGTAGTGTAGTGGTTAAGGCTCTGGACTTCCACATGGCTGACCACAGTTTGCGTCCCGGACCTGGCTGCTTGCTTTCTCACTTTCCTTCTCTCTCTCTGGTCAAATTAAAATAAATAAATGAATAAAGAGGGACCAGCAGTTGGCGTAATGGCTATGTCCCTGGATTCCCATGTAGTCAACCATGGTTCGAGTCCCAGACCAGTGGCTTAAACTTACGCTGGGAGCATGTGTGTGCGTGCCCAAGATCCCGAGAAGAGAATGGAGGAGAAGGGATTGCAGCGTGGCCATACTCCCTGGGGGGTGATTTCTCACTTTCTGTCTCTCTGTCTCTCTCTGTCTTTCTGGCGAGTGCACATGCCATACAGCAAAACGAAACAAAACAAAACAAACAAACAAAAAAGAATAAATAAAGTTAAATTTAAAAAAAGAAAGAGAGGGGCCGGCAGGTGGTGTGGTGGTTAAAGGTGCTGGATTCCCACATGGCCGACCGTGGTTCGAGTGTTGGATCTGGCGCCTTGCTTTCTCACTTTCTCTCTCTCTCTCACTCTGTCCCTCTCTGGTCAAATTGAAATAAACAAATGAATAAATAAATAAATAAAGTTAAATAAAATAATTCTTTAAAAAAAGAAAGAAAGAAAAAGATAATAATAAATAGAAAGAATAAAGGTTTGTTCTGCTTACGATTCTGAAAGCCCAAGGACAAGGGGCCACGTCTGGCGAGAGCCTTCTTGCTGATAGAAACTCTGCAGAGTCCTGAGGTAGCACACGACATCATATGGTGAGAGAGCAAGAGCCTGTGTCTGCTCCGGCCCCTCCCTCTTTTAGTTTTCCCTTTGTATTACCAAAGGGCACGTGCATTCGCTAGAGATGGATTGAGAGAGAGAGGGAAAAGGCACCTCCAGTGGGGCATGGTCATGTTGCAATCCATTCTCCTCCACTTCTCCTTCCTGTCAGGATTTAGGACACCCACGTACACACACCTGATTTTATATATATATATATTTTTTTTTTTTTTTGGAGAGGTTTTAGCTATAGGGCGCGTGCGCTCGCCAGACAGACAGAGAGAGACAGAGAGACAGAAAGCGAGAATGGCCATGCCACAATCCCTTCTCCTCCATTCTCCTCTCGGGATCTTGGGCATGTATGCACACACGCCCGGCGTGAGTTTAAACCACTGGGTCTGGGACTCGAATCACGGTTGACTACATGGGAGTCCAGTGACATAGCCATTACGCTAACTGCTGGTCCCTCCTCACCTGATATATTTTTCAAATCGTGCAGTCAGTTATGAGATCCAGTTTTCTTAATCACCAGGTCACAGGCTGGCCCGTGTGTAGATATATTTAATGTTTTCTTCTAATTGACGGAAGATATGTGTACTTGCCAGAGAGATGAAA